CTGAAGAGAATAATGATGTGCTGTCAGAATTTTGAATTCTCTGGAAACTGCAGTCAGCTCATGTCATTGTATATATACAATGTGTATATACGTACAATATATACAACACGAGAATATGTCATATATATATATATATATGTATACATACATATACATATACATACACACACATATGCCAATGTAGCTAATGCCAAAAAATTTAACATAACTTTCATGATCTACGATGAAAAACATGACTACGTTTTTATGAACTGTATAAGAAGAAGTGTAATGAAAACCCAGATTTTAAAAAGATTAAAGCTGCTGTCAGTGTGTCATTAGGGTCACCATGATAACCACAAACCTGTGTCAGTTGCTACCTGACTGAGATAATGAGTGGCAGAAAAGAAAGCTGACTGAAAAATAAACCTTAAACATTCTTGAATCGTTTTTGGCAAAATATTCTGATACACACGATTGTTTTGTGTTTTGTCTGTTTTATGTAGGAGATATGGCAAGTTTAAACGACCTTCCATTTCCAGTTTTGAAGAGAATATTGTGAGCTGAGCTGAGGTCGATGAAAGACTGGGTGTGTACTACAAACCTAATTCCAAAAAAGTTGGGACACTAAACAAATTGTGAATAAAAACTGAATGCAATGATGTGGAGGTGCCAACATCTGATATTTTATTCAGAATAAAACACAAATCACAGATCAAGTATAAACTGAGAGAATGTATCATTTTAAGGGAAAAATCTGTTGTTTCCAAATTTCATGGCGTCAACAAATCCCAAAATTTGGGACAAGTCCATTTTTACCACTGTGTGGCATCCCCCCTTCTTTTTACAACACTCAACAGACGTCTGGGGACAGAGGAGACCAGTTTCTCAAGTTTAGAAATAGGAATGCTCTCCCATTCATGTCTAATACAGGCCTCTAACTGTCCAATCGTCTTGGGCCTTCTTTGTCGCACCTTCCTCTTTATTATGCGCCAAATGTTCTCTATAGGTGAAAGATCTGGACTGCAGGCTGGCCATTTCAGTACCCGGATCCTTCTCCTATGTAGCCATGATGTTGTGATTGCTGCAGAATGTGGTCTGGCATTATCGTGTTGAAAAATGCAGGGTCTTCCCTGAAACAGATGATGTCTAGATGGGAGCATATGTTGTTCTACAACCTGAACATAGTTCTCTGCATTAATAGTGCCTTTTCAGACATGCAAGCTGCCCATGCCACAAGCGCTCATGCAACCCCATACCATCAGTGATGCAGGCTTCTGAACGGAGCGTTGATAACAACTTGGGCTATCCTTGTCCTCTCTGGTCCGGATGACATGGCATACCAGTGTTCCATAAAGAACTTCAAATCGTGACTCATCTGACCACAGAACAGTCTTCCATTTTGCCACACTCCATTTTAAATGACCCCTGGCCCAGTGCAAACATCTGAGCTTGTGGAGCTTGCTTAGAAATGGCTTCCTCTTTGCACTGTAGAGTTTCAGCTGGCAACGGCGGATGGCACGGTGGATTGTGTTCACTGACAATGCTTTCTGGAAGTATTCCTGAGCCCATTCTGTTATTTCCTTGACAGTGGCATTCCTGTTTGAGGTGCAGTGACGTTTAAGGGCCCGGAGATCATGAGCATCCAGTAGAGTTTTACGGCCTTGACCCTTACGCACAGCGATGGTTCCAGATTCTCTGAATCTTTTGATGATGTTATGCACGGTTGATGATGATAACTTAAAAGTCTTTGCTATTTTACGCTGGGTAACACCGTTCTGGTATTACTGCACTATCTTTCTGCGCAACAATGGTGGAATTGGTGATCCTCTTACCATCTTGGCTTCTGAGAGACATTGACACTCTGAGAAGCTCTTTTTATACCCAGTCATGTTGTCAATTGACCTAATTAGTGTTAATTGGTCTTCCAGCTGTTCATTATTGATATAGAAATTATTATTTTAATGCTTTTATGTCAATTTATCACTCATTTACATGTAGTTTGAAAACACACTTATACAACGTGTTATTCACATATTAGGGATTGTATTTTGTATTATGTTTTATGAGGTGTTGGGTCGCCTTTATGCCTGTTCAAACATATACTTTGTGTGTGTGTTGCTTATAATATTTAGACACTCTTTGATGGTTTGCAGAAGGGACGGAGGGGTGCTCTTTAGGAATGCTTTAATAAGCATTAGGAGTGCTCTTGACCTGGAAGCTTTGGCCCGCTTTTACGGTCACAGGCGCTCCTTACTGGAAGGATGAGCCATCGCTTTGATGATGGTTTAATTAGATCTGTCCTTCTGGTAACCATCAAAACTTGTTTACCACTGCTCTCACGCGATCCGGTCAGGGAAATGGTATAAAGGAAGTGTGACAGGCAACTTAATCTTTGGAAGTCCTGTGATGGATCAGCCGCGCGCTGGTGCCATGCGCCATTTTGATGTGATTCTTCTTTACCTGGGTCGAAAACGACTTCCCGGCCAGTGTCACGGTGAGAAGTTATTTCATATCAATCTGTGTGTTGAGTGTACATGTTTTTTGCTTGGCTGTTTTCTGTGGCAGGATAATAAAGGACACTAATTACTCCTAGCAGTGACAGCCTCTGGCTTTTATTTTTTCCTTCTTGTCTGATTTATCTGTGCCGACCGTTTCACGAGCCCTTTTGATAAAGAATTTCATAATACAATTATATGCTCAATTTCCTTTTTCCAGCCACTTATTGCTACTTGTCCCAACTTTTTTGGGATTTGTTGACACTGAAATTTTGAATCAACATATTTTTCCTTTAAAATGTTACATTTACTCAGATTAAACTTTTGATCTGTCATCTATGTTATATTACGAATAAAATATTGACATTTGTCATCTCCACATCATTGCATTCAGTTTTTATTCACAATTTGTTTAGTGTCCCAACTTTTTTGGAATCCGGTTTGTATATTATGTTCATATATTTTTGATGAAAACTTTAATTTGACATGTACCAAAAATAATTGTGAGAAAAGTTTGTTTGCCATAGATTTGTAAATTTTGGACAATTCAGAACTTAATCTGATGTCATGAACTGTCTATAAAGTGCTCCATGGAAAAAAAAATCTGTAAATCATCTTCAGTTGTGTAAAAAACTTTAAATGAAGCAAAACACCAGTTCTAAATTTCAGCGCTAATCAGTCTCATCTGTTCTCCTGCTTTTATAAGCTTCATAATCACAATCCATCAGTGCCAAATTATTAAACCTTCTATGGTCCCTGATTTTGAAGCCATCATAGTTTCTTGTCTCATGCCTTGTTGCCTTGCCTTGACCCCTCGCCTGTTTATTTTGACATCACGCCTTGCCTGACCCTTTTGGATTTAATCTGCCATCTGACCACGGTTTCTGACTCTGCGCCTTCCCCTTTGACTACGCTTTTGGATCACGACTTGGCTCTGGTTTCTGCTCTCTGCTTCCCTGTGCTTGACCCCTGCTACGGCTTTCAGACCACATATCTGGATTGCATCTGCCACATACACTTTGCCTAAGTCTGTACAAGGTCTGTCTAAGCTATTTGCTGTCTATGCATCCTAACTTTATGTGATTAGTAAAAGTTTGAAAGATGTTTCATTCTGTGAAGCTTGGCTAAGTATGCAATGTTTCCCCTAGGTCACTTGCCTTGGGAGGGTACTTGTCTTTTTGTGGTAGTGGTTTTTGTTGAGTTTATAGCAGAGCGCAACATTTGTATTGTGTGTGGTTTTGTTGACAGGGTGTGGTGCCCTCCTTGGATAATGGTAGGGGAAACACTGGTATGTGCAAGTACATTAAGTATGGGACTCACCTGTTTAAATAAAACATTGAAAGGTATTTATTGTTACAATTTAATAATAATTGTTTTAGAAATATTCACATTTCATTAAATCATCAAAGTTCATTCTCAATAATCTAGGTAAAAAAAATCCAACAAATTTAAGTCAGGTCCTCTGGACGATTTCCTTTTGTTGAAACGTTTCGTCTTTCATCCAAAAGATTTCATCAGTCCGAGGAGACACATCAAACTCAGTCTTAAAGCACCTTTATATAGTGAGTCAACAGTTTGCTAGTGCTAAGATGATGGTCACAACTTCTTTGATGTTTCAAACCACTTGGGCCATGGCTGCCTCAGACGAGTTGGCGAGGGAGAGGGCGGACTCCAGAAACAATCTTAGCACCATCAAACTGGTTGACCCACTATGTGAAGGTGCTTTTAAGAGTGAGTTTGCTGTGGCTTCTCCGACTGATGAAGTCTTTTGCATGAAAGACGAAACATTTCAACAAAAATAAACCGTCCAGAGGACCTGAATTAACTTAGCTGGATTTCATTAAATCCTTTGTTAATTAGTTGGAATATGTACTCAGAGGCTCATTGCTTGTCCAAATCTCACTCACTGACAACATAAATTCACATCTCACAGGACAGTTGGGCAAAATTTCAAAGGATCATCACAGAAGCAGTCAGGGTGTGAAGGAATGGTACCGGGAAATAATTCAGAGTTAAACAGATGGCTTGTGTGCATAATTTTTGCATAATAAACAGAGTTTGGATCACTGTGCACTGCAGGGACAGAGCAAACAGCAGGCATCGCTGACCTCTCTGCTGGCTAACATGCACTCTTTACAGCGAATGCTGAGTCAGAACATCCAGGATGGTGTTTTGGTGAATAAAAGTGATTTGCAGTTGGTGCCCCCAACAGTAAAAATAACTGAAAGAAGAGCATAAAAAAGCTAAATAAAAACTATTTTTGCTGACTATATCTTAATGGAGAGACATGGAGGATGATAGAAGTCCAATGCATGTTTTCTTTGTCAATAAAATGTATGTATAAGAACAGATGGCATACATCAAGCAAATCAAATGTGTCACTTTAATCTGTATAACGCTTGTGTAAATGTATAAAATCAGTTTTAAGAGTGGAGGATATATAAGGTTGACCTAGATAAACAAATTTTATCATTAGGTTTTATTAAAATGACAGACCTCATAGGAAAACTAGTTGGTACCAACCTTCAGAGGAGGGACAGGCAGTGGCTTATTGTCCTTGTCAAGGGAGATGAAGGTGAAGAATGCTGAGACAGCACGGTATCTCCCTTTCTCCTCATCCACCAGTGAGGCGGCTTCCACCAACACTTCAATTTCCATGGACTTGTTACTAACAAATGTAAGTCGCCCCGTCACAGTCACCACACAGCCTTTGAGAGAGAGAAAATGAACATATCAAACCTAGTTTTGAAATACACACAAATCTATTAACAATGTATCCATTTATTCTCAGCAGAAGCTTCATAATCATTTTATAGCAAATCTGAGAGGCTGTTAAGAATTTTTATATTTATTTAAAGTACACGCTTTGCACGTCACTAATGAAAAAGATATTCTTACAAAAGCAAATACAACAAGATGTAATAGAAAGAACAATAAAATTTTATTTGACCAAGAAATTTGTTTTAAATCATGAGAAAACTTAATATGAACAAATCATTATCATTAATCATGTACTCACTGCTGAAAAACCGGCGATAATGTAATTGTACGTGTGTCGTGGGGGGTGTAATTGTCTGCCAGTCATGTTAGCAAAATATCTCACACACCAGCGAACAAATTTTAATGACACTCTCAGAACGTAATATTTGGATGTACATCTACACATTAATTCAACCTTTAATGATACAGGTTAGTCTCATTGAGTCACGAGGACTCATTTTCAAGAAAGACCTTACACAATTTTGAAGTAAACTCGATTCAAGATGGCTACCAAGGCCAAGTGACTTTAGCAAACACAACAATGACTTTAACGCTGTCACTTTTATAGAAAATGAGCTAAAATTTGGTGTGGTAATATCAGCACATACAACAAACACAAAAACATTGAGCAACATCATACTTTGAATCTCAGGCTTTAAGTGTTACAATCAACCCCGTCTGTCTGTCAGACTAATAATCTAATCTATCTAATGCATTTGAAAATCAAAAATCTCTTGTTCTTCTTTTGTCAACACAGATCGATAAAATAAACAGCCAGCAACAAGACCTGGGTATAGCTGATGCTTCATTATTCTCTTTGATGTGCCTGCATCGGATTATTACTGCTGTTGCCATAGAGACGAGGAGAGAAGGTGTTATCTCCGCAGTCTGAGACAGATCCTGGGTAAATGTCTAAGCTCTTATAAAGCAAAGTCCAAAGAATCAACATATATATGTAAAAAAAAAAAAAAAGGTTTTACAAGTTTGCTTGGTTGCAAGAAATATTCAAATCCATTACTTAAGTCTAAATACCATCTTGCAAAATTTATTTTATTTTTTTGTTCCAAGAAACTACTTCATGAAAAATGTACTGGTATATATAATTTAGTGAAGCTATAAAGAACTTACAGAAATCACAACAAATACACATTAAAAAAGTGAAGAAATGTTTTTTATTTAAAGTTTAACTTAAACTGTGTAACTGATATTGAGAATCAGAAAGTTAAACAATGTAAAAAAAAAAAAGAATGAACATTTCACGGTCAGAGTCAGAGAGTCAGAGCCAGAGTTTCTTTATTATCATTCGCACCTCATGTGGTACATGTGGTGGAGCGAAATTATGTACACGAGGTCCCAGTTACATCCAACAATAAAATGTCTAAGAAAAACAGTAATAACATCTAAGATATGAACTAAGAAAAACATCAACTAAATATACACTAAGCACTCATAACATAAAACATTGAACATCAGCACAAACATGAACATGAGTCTGTGAGCAGATGTGCACGCATGAACACATCAACATTGAAACAGATCAGCAGCAACATGAAACAGATCAGCAGCAACATGAAATGTTTTTTTCACAGTGATTATTCTAGTTAGAGATTCATGAGTCTAACAGCCTCAGGGTAGAAGCTGTTCCTCAGTCTAGTGGTTCTACACTTAATGCTCCTTAACCTCCTTCCTGAGGGGAGTGGGGCAGTGGGGAGTGGGGAGTGGTCAGGAGCTAGTCCAGTTTTATTAAGATAAAATGCTTCTGGCACAAATCTATCAGCCTCATCAAAGGGAAGTAAGTGTGTTCTACACCAAAATCAGTCTTGATGATGGATGATTTTTAAAAGACTTTCATGATTAATAATTGATTTATGCAGAAAGTAGATCTAGCACTTGTGCAAAACTGAAGGTCAGGCAACATGGAAGTCTGGCCCATTTCTGCCTAATATAGCAGATCTGCTTTAAGGAAAGTGCACAGGCTTCATAATGTATGCAGAAAGCTGATACTGTGCTGAGAAACCGATTTGCTACTTTTATACAGCCTGCCTCTGTGAGGTTTGGCTTTACTTGTGTTTTCAAATAACATTATCATTTTATTATCAATGTTAAAATAGTCACAGCTCCACTACATTTCCATCAAAGCACCACCCATCGGTGTGAATTTTAAAGATTTTCCATTATTGAAATGTCATATTTGAACAAACATCAGACCATGCCAGCAAAATAAAATGTGACATCCATAAATAAGTACAGCATTAAGAGTGTTCATGATGTAACGCTGATCTTTTTATTATTTTTCACCTTCAGCGCTCTTTTCTCCCTCACTAAAAAAATCCTTTCATCTGACGTTCAGCTTTTGAGGTTTTGTGCCTTTCTTCTCATTATTTGCACTCCTGGTTATTTTGTTGTAATGATCACAGAAATGAGCAGAACTCTCACATCAGCTGCAAGCATCTAATAGCTGTAGTATATATCCCCAATAAAAAAAAATCCACATTATTTTATAATATGGAACAGTGGCTGATTTACTTTTTACAGTCTTTTATTAAAGGTTGGTTTTAGCTGGTGCATAGCCTGTGATGTTTGGCCCTGTATGGTTGACTTTTACACCAATAATAATATCTAAATTCACACGTTAAAGCCAACAAGAAAAATGCAAAACTACAAAATGCAAGAAAAATGGCCTCCGTATTCAGTTATAATTAAACCAGAACAATTTCCATTAGCACCATCTGCATGGTTTCGCTCAAAAAGTATAATTGGTCTCTTGGTAAATTGGCTGATAAATGAGGCAAGAGACAAAACACAAGAGAAAGTGAGATTTGTAAATGTTATCACAGGATGCAAATTACATCAAATTAGCTCATTCACATGTGATTGATCTCATTTTAGCTGGATTGTGCATCTTAATTGCAAAATCAATATTTTGCACATGTTACTAAACTCTAAATCTCAGAACTATTTAATTATTTTTGTTTGAAATTATGAAAAGGCTTTTTGTTTTTCAAGTTTGTGATCCTTAAATCTGGAGTGATGTTTGTTTTAAGCTCGTATGAATAGAACAAAATGTTCTCTAAAACCACCCACCTAATGCTGGCTTTTAACGATCTGTGGTAAAATAATTTGTAATGTTTTCAACCTCTTTCCGTTGTTCAGCTACCAAAACTGACCCTTTGAAGAAACAACAATGTCTCTAAAATGGCTGGGATGTAGCAGGTGTAAAACATAGTAGGGAACACAACCCTTATTCTGTTTTTTAAAAAAGGTTAAAATACCATAACCCCACACTCCCTTTCACTTGGGAAATGGTACCAAAAAGAAAAGTACCTTCAGATATAACTACATCTACCCAGAGAGGCTGTAGGCCTATATGATTACATTTTCTTTATTCTAGACATGAACTATTTTTTTTTTCATTTATCTCTTCATGTCAGACAAGCTAAAGTTAAATAGGAACTCTACTGGTGACATAACACCTAAGTCACAGTGAAAGCCAGTTGAAATCATGTCAACACAACATAAACTCAGAGGACAGTGAGGCAACAGTGGCACAAAAATGAGCATACAAAATATGTGGACATGAAATTCAAACAACCTCAACGTTTCTACCTTTTATATAATCCAGTTCATTTTTGGCCTTACAATGGTGATTCCATGTTTTTACCTCCATGAATGTGACTTTGCTGTTTATACATCCTAACTTAATCTACATGTACTTTAAAACATTAACAGTCCCCTGTGAGGTTCTGTATTTAAATCTAAGCAAACAGGGCCATTTCTCATGGCTTCTGATAGTGGACTTGTGTCTACACTGGTCCTGTTAAACCTCAGTGCTGCATTTGATACAGTCGATCACAATAGTCTACTACAGAGACTTGAATATGATAAAGGGATTACAGAAATGGCTCTAAATTGGTTTAAATCATATCTATCTGATAGATTCCAGTTTGTACTGGTAAATGTAAATAATGAATCTTCTTCATACACCAAAGTTAGTCATAGAGTTCCTCAGGGTTCAGTGCTTGGACCAATACTCTTTACCTTATACATGCTTCCATTAGGTAAAGTTATTAAACAGCATTAATTTTCATTGACGTAGGACACTACAATACACAGTTTTATTTGTTCATGAAACCCAATGAATCCAATCAGTTTCTTAGACATGTCTAATTAGCATGTCTTAAAGACATAAAAACCTGGATGACCCTACATTTTCTGCTTTTGAATATAGACAAGACTGTTTTGGCTTTTGGACCTGAGCATCTTAGGAATTAATTTTTCAGTCTTTCACCCTCCTTGAATGGCATTAAGCTGGCCTCCAGCTCTAATGTTAAAAATCTTGGTGTTATTTTTGATCAGGACATGTCTTTGATCTCTCACACTAAAAATGTCTAGACTGGACTATTGCAATGGTTTGTTATCTGGGTATCCAAATACTTCTTTAAAAATACTTCAGTTAATCAAAATGCTGCTGCCAAAGTCTTAACTGGAGTTAGTAAGAGATCATATCTCCAGTTTTAGCTTCTCTCCAATCCCTGTCAAATTCAGAAATGAATTCAAAATCTTACTTCTAACCTACAAAGCTCTCAAGAGTCAGAGAGATTTATTTGTCATGTGGTACATGTGGTGGAACGAGATTATGTACACAGGGTCCCAGTTACATCCAACAATAAAATGTAAAAGAAAAACAGTCATAAGATCTAAGATATATCTAAGAAAAACATCAGCTAAATAATACACTAAGCACTAGTAGCATAAAAACGTAATGTCGAACAGCAGCACGAACATGAGTCTGTGTGAGCAGATGAATATGAATGAACAGAGCAACATGAAACAGATCAGCAGCAACATGATGTGATTTTCACAGTGATTATCCTGGTTAGATATTCATGAGTCTAACAGACTCAGGGTAGAAGTTGTTCCTCAGTCTAGTAGTTCTGCACTTAATGCTCCTTAACCACCTTTCTGAGGGGAGCGAGGAAAAAAGTGTATGTGCTGGGTGAGTGGGGTCCTTCATGATGCAGGTGGCCCTCTTCCTACATCTAGAGGCGCAAATGTCTGTGATGGTGGGGAGACTGACTCCAACAGACTTCTGTGCAGCCTTCACCACTTTCTGCAAAGCTTTTCTTTTTGCATCTGTGCAGCCTCCATCCATGCCACATGTTGATGCTGGAGCACAGGATGCTCTCCACTGCACACTTGTAGAAGGAGGTGAGGACGGAGCTTCCCAGACCAGCTCGTCTCAGCCGTCAACAACCTAGCTTCATCTTATATTCGAGATATTATTGTTCCATATTTTCCTAACAGAGCACTTCACTATCAGACTACAGGTTTCCTTGTGGTTCCTAGAGTTTCCAAAAGCAGAATGGGAGGAATATCTTTCAGTTATCAGGTTCCTCTCTTGTGGAACCAACTTCCAGTTTCTGTCCATGAGGCTGACACATTGTCCAGTTTTAAGACTGGGATTAAGACTTTCCTTTTTGATCAATCCTATAGTTAGTGTTGACTTGTCATGCTGCCTTAAGCTTAGACTACTAGATGACAAATTGACCTAATTTCCTTAAATGAATTGTTAAAATTTAATAGTTTTCATTTGATATTATTTCTATCTTAACATGAGATTCTTGACCTGCCATTGTGTATCTGTTCCTATCAAACCCAGCCGGTCAAATCAGATGGCCGCATATCCTGAGACTGGTTCTGTGAAAGGTTTCTTCCTCATGAGGGAGTTTTTCCTTTCCACAGTCGCCTTTGTGCTTGCTCAAGATGAGAGTTCTGCGATGAAGTTAAATTCAAAGCAGTCTGCTCATCAGATAAATAGTGTTAACTTATTATTTTTATATATGAATGTTTCTGTTCAGTGCCCTGAAATGACTTCTGTTGTGACTTGGCGCTGTATAAATAAACTGAATTGAATTAAAGGGTATTTCCCCTCATATCCTGCCACTATGTACTGCTCAGAACTATTCAGAAAAAACTGAGCTGAATGAATTATCCTGCTTGAATGAAGTTGCTTGTATCTGAAAACACATGTAAATCCAGAGCTGCAGGAGCTGACCCAGCACAGTCGTACTGTGCTATGGCATTTTCTTTCCACTTCATAATTCAACAATGTGTAGAGATGAAGCTGCTCTATTGTTAACGTTTTGTCCCGAGGCAGTCTGAATGTTAGTACAGGATTTTGAATAAAAAAAAAAATACTTTCAAATACCCAGATCAGTCAAAATTGTCTATTGATGAAGTATTGTATGTTTTCTTTCATTACCAATAATCCAAAATTACATGAATATAATATTTATTTTCAGTACATTTAAGAATTTATTTCCCCTAATAGACATTTGAAAGAAAACACAAACTTGATTTTTATAAAACAGGAATGATCCACTAATGCTAAAACTGCTAATTGCGAACAACATAAAATCATTATATTATCCCACTTAGATCCTAAAACTGTTAAAGTACCAAAGTGTCAAATGCAGCACTAGCACAAAAAATAAAAAAATAAAATAAAAATCCAACGGGGAAAAAAAAAAGTTTATTTTATTTATTTATTCATTTTTTTTGCTTTTTGTTATCTGTTTTTTGTGTGTGTTCCTTCTCAGATTTGAGCATTAGCTCAGCTCTGGTGTCCAGTGTGGGCAATAAAATTTTTAACTATATATTCAGCAAGAAACAATATGAAACTACTAAAAGTATGTTTTCTGCTCAATAAGATGCTGGTAAATGTTGGCGTTTTTCAAAATAAATGTCTAAAACCTGATGAGGATTTTTTTTATCAAGAAATAGAGATCACAGATTTTTACAAGCTCTATACAGAAAAAAAACATTTCAAACAGACAGAGCTCGAACTAGAACAACGACTAAAAATGATTTAACCATCCCAATAACTGTGGTTAATGTTGACTTATTCTTTAAATAATGGACAGGTACATTTCCAGGCTGCTGAGCATTCCCACAGTATTGTGCAGTTGCATAAAGGACAAGGAAAACACTTGAACAAACAACTGTTCAGATGCAAACCACAGTGATAGGCTTGTACCTTGACCAGAATGTGAGTATTTAAGTATCCTCACCTTTCTTAATCTTGCGATGGAAGTTAATGGCATCCACAGAAGCAGTGACGATGTTAGTGTTGCAGTGTCGAGCTGCTACGATTCCAGCAACCTCATCCATCAGCTTCATGGTCACACCTGTATCCAAGACACTGTTAATTTTGTAATGCACATGTGTGCTTAATTAATTATTTTTTTTTTCAAGTATTCTATCATTTCCACACCAATATAATTCTCACTTCTCTCATAAATTGACTTAATAATGTCCTCCTTTGGTAATCAAACTATTCACAGAAAAGAGACTGGCCTATTTTACAACATTTAGTGGTTTTTTTTTTTATGTGACCTACTTGCTGTATTAAAATATCACTTTTAGCATTTGCACCTTGACATTGTGGGGTTTTGCCATCAGAAGTGACAGATACAGGACATCCTTGTAAAAGAGATTAATAATCTCAATGGATTTCTTCCTGGTGAAATAAAAGATGGGACAGAGCCAAGAACCCAAAGATAGTATACATGTCCATCAACCAACTCTTAGGTCACCTAACTAGACCTAATTCTTAATAACAGAACTTGTAGTCCAAATATACTACAAATATCTTATTCAGTTTTCATTGAAGGGGTAAATTATTTATTTATTTATTTATTTATTTATTATCCTTGCTTTAAGTTTAGGTGTAATAGAGAACTCTCTTCAGGACTGAATTAGTTATGGAGCCAACAAAAGGTCATTTAAAATGCTGCTTCATTTTTATTTTTTATTTCATTTTGACAAAACCACACCTGTTGCCAATCAAAGCCTGCCGTTCCAATATGATTAATTCAGTTCATCGACGTTAATGACATTCCGCTCTCCTGTTATTATCAGTGAAAGTCACACTCGGCGTCTCTTCAAATTAAAACAAAGCTAAGATAAATGTAGTCATTAAGTGCAAAGACTCTTGGACAGTTTTGAGACCCCATTTCATACTGAATGTTGAAGCTAATGGATTTCCAGATGTTATTAGAATACAATCTACCTTGAGCTAAATTATGAACAAGTCTACTGGCCATTTCCTCAACGTGAACGTTACTGAAGCTCATTAGTTCGATGGATATCATCTGACTGCCAAAATGAAGAGCTTCTAAAAAGTTTAAATAGATTGATTCTCAGCTGACTGCTAATGTAAATGTTAAATACACTCCCAAACTGTTAAAACGTTGTATGTTTACAATAGTCCACATTCATCTTTTTCCTACTACAACATGTTAATATTAGGGATGCGCGATATTATCGGCATGATATTGTATCTGCCGATATTAGCGTTGAAGTTCAATATTGGACATTGGCAGAGCTCATAAAGTGAAAACAGATGAGGTCAGAAGATCCACACACACACGCACGCACGCACACACAGCTCTGACAGCCAGCTGGTGACATGTGTAAAGGAAATAGTTGTTTGCTGATTTCTCTCAGAAAGTGGGACATCTTGTAAGGAGTGGGTGGGATAAAGATTAGAAAAGCAAGAGGATGACATCTGCTTCTCATCGCAGAGACAGTCTGTGAGTGTGTGTGTTTTTGTGAAAATATGTTCATTTAAAGACAGACAGACCTTGGGCTCTGCACACTCTGGGTGCCCCAGTTGTTCCTTTTGAGCTGCATTATGTATCTTTCATGTTACAGAAAATCAATGAGAATGCTTTCTGGAGGCTGATTTTGCTCCCAAAGGTTTCTACCATCTGCACTGTGTGGCTCTATTTAAGACAGCCAAATGTGTGGGTGTAGAAACAGAATATGCTGCTTGCTCCCAAATGCAGGATTCATCATAAAACTAAGCCCACTACGTTGATTAGGATTTAAATCTGCTGATACTTTGACATCTTCTTATCACAAAGCATTGCCATATTTTTATATCAACAACTGCTTGTTAATTCCTATCTAAGAAGCTCACAGTGGCTTTGAACTTTATACACACATTTCTTAAATAACTCAAACAGTGAATTAAGTTCTAACTTAGATTTGTGCTAATGTAATGGTTAAACTCTGGTTGCACAGCATGAAAGTGATGTTTAGCTCAACGACTTGATAGGTGGCATAACACCCACTGAATGATGAGATATTTGGTTAAATCTCTTGGCTCTCTGATTGAAGCCATAGACATCAGCCATAGGCAAAGAAAGAAACCACACCTCTTCCTAAACCTGTTGAGAAGCATTTTCTAAAACCTTTCTCCCTTTCTGTGCATCTGTTGTGCTGAGAAAATTGATGAGATCTCACTTTAGGATTGAAAACCTCCCCTGGGTGCAAGGCACAGCACACTACATGTAACCAAAGGTTGGAGTGGTCATGTCTGAGCATGTAACGTTTAATGGAGAGGGACTACGACCTCAACATGTTGATAGGAATTAAAATGCTGCATCACATTAAAGTGGCAAACTTTTCAAGCTGGCATTGCTAATGACTATAAAACTGCTTCACCACAACGGTTAAATTTAATTTAAAGCATTGTGGTGTTTGAAATATCTGAATTAAAATGAGCTAATTTAATCAATGCCCCACTTTTGCATAACGCTAACGCTAAAGCCGGTAAACTCCCCATGCCGTCTCTCTTTCTGTCGAACGTCCGCTCGTTGGACAACAAGATGGATTTACTTCGTCTGAGAGCGGGCGCCTCAGAAGAAATGAATAAGTGTGCGGTGCTTTGCCTCACCGAAACGTGGATTACAAGCGAAACGCCGGATACAGTCTTCCAGCTGGATGACAGACTCTTTTTTCGAGCGGACCGCTGCAGCGAGCTAACGGGGAAATCACGGGGAGGCGGAGTGTGCATTTACGTGAGTAAAAGTTGGTGCACAAACTGTACAGTTGTAAATAGCTCATGCTCGAAGGCTTTGGAGCAAATAACAGTGAAATGTCGGCCACATTATCTACCCCGTGAATTCACAGTGACTTTCATCACGGTTGTTATCATTCCTCCGGACGCTAATGCTAATGAATCACTGCAGGAGTTACATGATATCATCAGCTCGCTGCAGAGCAAACACCCCGAAGCTCTTTATGTTGTAGCCGGAGACTTTAACCACATGAATCTAAAGGACTGTCTCCCAAGCTTTAATCAGCATGTGACAATTCCAACACATGGAGACAAGACGCTGGACCGTGTTTACACGAACGTAAAGGATGCATACAAAGCCGAACCCCACCCCCACCTAGGACTGTCAGACCACATCTCAATCTTTCTAGCTCCTGCTTACATGCCCCCGCTGAGACGCTCCAGACTGGTACAAAAGAAAGTTAAATGTTGGCTCCAGGACAGTGGCCCCATACTGAGAGATTGTTTTGATCGAACAAACTGGCAGGTTTTTAGAGAAGCTGCTGAAAATGGAGGTTCGCTTGATCTTGACCAATACACATCCTCAGTTCTGGGTTACATTATTACATGTACTGAAACCGTCTCCACTATCAGAAATGTTAAAAGCTACCCAAACAGAAAACCTTGGCTGAATGCAGAGGTGCGCACCCTGCTGGAAGCCAGGAACACTGCCTTCAGGTCTGGAAACTCAGAAGAGCTGAGTAGGACAAGAAAAGAGCTGGTTGCTGGTATTAAGAAGGCCAAGGCCACATATGCACAGAGGATCGAGGGTCAATTCATCTCACAAGACCCTCGGAGCATGTGGAGGGGCATTAAGTGCATAACAGATTATAAAGGAAGAAGTGAACAATGCCCCAAAGACCCATCTCTGCCTGATGCCCTCAACAAGTTCTATGCACATTTTGAAGACCTGAACAGACCACCCAGCACCAGACTCACCTCACCACCAAATGAAGAGCATCTCAGCGTGACCTCAGCCGAAGTAAGGAGTACCTTCAGGAGTATTAATCCGCACAAGGCAACTAGCCCAGACAACATCCCTGGAAAAGTGTTGAAGGAATGTGCCGATCAGCTCTGCGAGGTGCTGGCAGACATCTTTAACACCTCACTTACCCTGGAGACAGTTCCCACCTGCCTGAAGACTGCCACCATCATCCCAGTCCCAAAAAGCTCTACAGTGACTGGTCTGAATGACTATCGGCCAGTGGCCCTCACCCTGATAGTCGCTAAATGCTTTGAAAAACTGGTCATGACTCACATCAAAACAACCATCAACATCAACGAGGACCCTCATCAGTATGCATACCGCGAGAACCGATCAACAGAGGATGCCATCTCCTCTGTGGTCCACACTGCGCTCAACCACCTGGAGCAGAAAAACTCTTATGTCCGTATGCTCTTTGTGGACTTCACATCCGCATTCAACACCATGATCCCCCAAACCCTGATGGACAAACTATCCACACTAGGACTAAGCCCCTCGATTTGCAACTGGGTACTAGACTTCTTAACAAACAGACCACAGTCAGTGAGGATCCACAACTTGTCCTCCTCCACCATAACCCTCAGCACTGGCTCTCCTCAGGGATGTGTGTTGAGCCCCCTCCTGTTTACTCTGCTCACGTATGATTGTGCAGCTACTCATCCAGGCTGTCACATTGTAAAGTTTGCAGATGATACAGCGGTGGTGGGATGCATCACAAACAATGATGAGTCCAGCTACAGGCAAGAGGTGGAACACCTGGAGAGCTGGTGCAGAGAGAATAACCTTCACATCAATGTGAAGAAGACAAAGGAGATGATTGTGGACTTCAGAAGGAACAAAAACATCTAGACCCTCCTGAACATAAGAGGATCTGCAGTGGAAGTGGTCTCCAGCTACAAGTACTTGGGTGTACACATGAATGACAACCTCAGCTGGAGCAAGTCTGTCGGAGTCAGCCTCCCCACCATCACAGACATCTACACCTCCAGATGCAGGAAGAGGGCCACCTGCATCATGAAGGACCTCCCTCACCCAGCACACACACTTTTTGCCCCACACCCCTCAAGAAGGAGGTTGAGAAGCATTAAGTGTAGAACCACTAGACTGAGGAACAGCTTCTACCCTGAGGCTGTTAGACTCATGAATCTCTAACCAGAATAATCACTGTGAAAATCACATCATGTTGCTGCTGATCTGTTTCAATGTTGATGTGTTCATGCGTGCACATCCGCTCTCACAGACTCATGTTCATGCTGCTGTTGTTTGGCGCATTGTATTGTACTATTAGTGCTTAGTGTATTCTTACTTTAGTGTATTTCTTAGTTCTTGTCTTGGATCTTACTAGTGTTTTTCTTATACATTTTATTGTTGGATGTAACTGGGACCCTGTGTACATAATTTCGCTCCACCACATGTACCACATGAGGTGCGAATGACAATAAAGAATCTCTGACTCTGACTCTCTGACTTTCAAATGAAATGCAACAAAGTTACTGTCGTAAAAATTTGAACTGATGCTAAACTATGGGCTGACACTTGTACCATCAGAAACTGAATTAAACTGATGTTGAATGCACAAGTTTCAGCCCATACTAAACAAAGTCTGTTGGTGCACTTTCAAATAAATTTAAAAAAACAGCTGAAAAATTAAAGCGCAAAAATAAAATGATGGGCCTCATGGTCTGTGTACATCCCCATGTTTAAATTATTTCATTTATGTTGTACTGTAGTACACTTGGGAAATGAAAATAGTTTGATATGAATTTTCAAAAAAGTATTATTTACCATGGCCCTCTGATGGACTTGCAACCTGTGCAGGGTGTTACCCGTCTCTTGCACAGTGACTGTTGGATATGGGAACCAGTGACCCCCGTGACCCGAAAAGGAAGAAGCGGGGAAAAGATAATGAATGGATGGATTTACCATCAGTGTGGTTTCAGACCTGGACATTTATTTATTTTTATTTTATTTTTTTCAGACCTGGACATTAACCTCAGACATTTTCTGTCAGAGGAGAGATCCCATGCATGTGTCAAAATACAGTTCTAGTCCTCTTGAGGCAACATGAAGACTGCAATAAAATTTAGATGAGTTTGAGAAGAGTTGGAGATACCTGCAACAACTCTGTGTCTACTTTAAGCAACAATATGTTGAACAAACTTTTTGAACATGTTTAAAACTCTGGCCAGTCGACAGGACTGTGAGCTTTGGCGACTTATAAAAGAAAATTGAGAACTCCTGTGAAC